TTTAAAGTCAGCTTAATTATCACCTATCTATTTATGAAGCTTTTGTTAGTCATCCCATTGATTCTTTTTCACTGAAACATCTGCAGCATTGTGTGTGTGTGTGTGTGTGTGTGTGTGTATTCAGTAAATTCTTTGGGCTATGTTCATTTCTAACCCCCCCCACCCCCACAACATACACGTCATCATCCCTACACAGAAATGTCTATAATTAATTTCTGATATTTTAAGAATGTTATTAGCTCTAAGTCACCTGTTGAGTTTGGGAGTCTACGTTGATGGCTGGTAGCTATAAGTGACTACATTTACTAAGTCTCCTGCAGAACTAAAAAAAAAAAAGAAAAAGAAAACAAAGTGTTTTTTTTTCTCTTCCCATTCTATAACAAAGCGTGTAGTTTTTCTGCAATGCAACTGAGAATAGAAACAATGTCAAAGACTATACTTATCACGAGAAGATGAAAGGCATATTTGTTGAAGTTTTCCTCAAGTGTGATATGAAACAGGACAATTAGAACACTTTCTTGAGGGTTTAATTTGGTGTGTGATAGTTTAATTATCACCTAATTACAGTTCTAGTATGTGCTAAAAGCAGTCCATCATTTTGACACATATCCAATTCTTGCTTTTAAATAAATGCATTTGTTTATTTCCATTTAAAATTTATGGGAACCATAGGAAAGTGTAACGATAAAAGAAAAACTATCCATATTATTGTATGTTAACACAACCTCACATTACTGCCAGAGACTTAGAAGATATGCTTCAAAGTGAAGTCACATTACTACCTACTAAACAGATATTGAAACAGAGGCACAGAATGGCTTAAGTCTCTTTTCAAAGGGAAGGCAGAGCCACTTGAGACCTTGGATGGAATCTAGGAAGTCCTACAGCACTAATGCATGCTTTAAAATACATATAACATAAACTACTTTTTAATCATCTTAAATGTGTTAACAGTGGGCTTAATAGATTCAAAAGTTGTGCAAGTATAAACACTGAAACTGTCTAGCATCAGAGTATTCTATGTTCTCCCAAAGAAACTTTGTATCATAAAGCCACCCTTCCCCTGGATCTGAACAGCCACTAATTTGCTTTTTGTCTTTATGAATTTGTTCATTTTGGATTTTATATAAATGGACTCCCCAGTCTTTGTGTCTTGCTTCTTTCACTTGGCACAGTGTTTCAAGGAGTATTAATGTTGTAGCATGAACCAATACTTCACTCCTTTTTATGGCTTTGAAATATTCTATTGTACGTTAGTCCATATTTGTTTGTACTACAGTTGCACGCCTCATACCACACCAAATCTATCACTGTTGTGAAGAGTGCTTCTATGAATGCTTACATACATGTTATTTTTGAACATTTAATTCTCTTGGGTATTATTTGTGAAAGAAACCACTATTTCCATATTGCCCGAAACATTTCATATTCCCAGCAACATTGTTCTGATTTCTTTATGTATTTGCAAGCATTTATTTTTTATTTTTGATCTAAGTGTGGTGGTCTCTGCACTCAGGAGGCATAGGCAGGTGGATCTCTGTGAGTCTGAGGCCAGCAAGGGTGAAAGGAGAGAACTGATTTCTCCAAGTTGTTCTCTGACCTCCACATGAGAGCCCCTCAGTAAATATGTAACTTAATGTAAAAAAAAAAAGTTTTAATCAAGAAAAATATATTCATCCCAGTGAATGTGAAATGGCAGCTTATTTTGGAGCTTTAGAAATATCAGATATATAACACATATAAGTATATATATATATATATATATATATATATATATATATATATATATATATAAAAGTCCTGATTTTAATACACCTTTTTCTTTCGTTGATCTTACTTTTGTTATCATATCTAAAAATCTATTGTTAAATCCAAACTCATAAAAATTTATCGCTATATTTTCTTCCAAAAGTTTTTTTTTTTTTTTTGAGACAGGGTTTCTCTGTGTAACAGCTCTGACCGTCCTGGATTTACTTTGTAGACGAGCTTAGCCTTGAACACTCAGAGGTCTGCCTGCCTTTGCCTCTTGAGTGCTAGGAGACATGCACTGCCACATCCAGCCCTCTTCCAAAAAATTTTAAAGCATAATTTTGGGATTTTGATACATTTTTAGTTAATTTTTGTGTGTGGCATGAGGTAGGTGTCCACTTCATTTTTTCATGTTTATATCTAGTGTTCTATTGTCATTTGTTGGGACGATTTCTTCCTCCTTATATTTGAAGTATTCATATTTCAAAAATAATATTAAAATTATTTTGAATGATATTGATATCCTTGTCAGAAGCAACTGATCATGGCTGGAGAGGTGGCTCAGTGGTTGAGAGCACTTGCTGGATTTACAGAGGACCTGTGTTTGTTTCCTAGCACTTACATGGCTGCTTACAACCATCTGTACCTCCAGTTCCATCTGATGCAATCTTCTGGCCTCTGCAAGCACCAGGGCACACACATGTATGCATATACATGCATGTAGACAAATGATGTTACACATAAAATTAAAATGGTTAAATTAAAAATAAAAGCCAACATCTCATCTCACAGATGTGTAGTTTTCTGTATTCTCACTTGCATTCCATTATGCTTTTACCCTCATACTTTTCTTTTTGATTACTCAGTATGGTTTTTTAATAATTCATTTTTTAATTTTAATTTTTATTTATTCAATGTACATCCTGGTCATAGCCTCCTCCCTCCTGTCCTCCTGGTTCCACCCTTATCCCCCCTTCCCTACTCCTCAGAGAAGTGGAACCCACCTCCCTATCCATCTACCCCAGCATATCAAGTTGTATCAAAACTGAGTGCATCCTCTACCAGGCAAGGTAGTCCCACCAGGGGAAAGTGATTGGAAAGCAGGCAGCAGAGTCCATGCCAGAGTCAGCCCCAATTCCCCTTACAGAAAAATTATATGAGGACCGAGCTTCCCATAGGCTACATCTGTGTGGGGGCTCAGGGCCACCCTTAGTTGATGTGTCAGACTCTTCAACAACCCCCCGCCCCCCAGGCCTAGGTAGTTGGCTCTGTTGGTCTTCTTGTGGAGCTCTTGCCTTGGGATGGTCTTAAGCTAGAAAATGTAACTCCTTTGTATTTATTATTTTTGTGTGTGTCTGTGTGTATGAGGTCAACCGTTGGTGTTTCCCTCAGTTGCTTCTCACCTTGTGTTTTTGAGGCAGACTCTCACTAAACCTGGAGCTTGCCAGTTTGGCCTGGCTGGCTGGTCAGTGAGCACCAGGAATCCCGCTGTCTCTTTCTTAAATGCTGAGGTCATGAATTTATTTCACTATGCCTGGTGTTACATGGTTCTGGGTATAAAAGACATGTCCTTATATTTTTGTGGTAAGGACTTTAATGACTGAGCCCTTCCCCAGCCCTTCACTTTTTTTTTTTTTTTTCTTTTCCAAGATTATTTACACCATTCAGGAATTTCTATCTCCACATGAATTTCAGAATCAACTTTTCATTTTGGAAAAACCTTTGTCATCTTAGCTGCATCATTTTCTCATCTATGATGTTTTTCATGTACTTAAGATTTTTTTTTTTAGCAATATTTTGTAGTTATCAACATACTTTTGATATTCCTGTTTAAATTTATTTCTGTGTTTTATTCTTTTTGCCTCTGTTGAGTTGGGATTATTTGATTATTTTTTCTTTCCTTTTTTTCCTTCCTTCTTTCCATTTGTTCTTTGATACAGGGTTTTTATACTGGATGTCCTGGAGCTCTCTATTTAGAGCAGGCAGGACTCAAACACATAGACACTGCAGCTACCTTCTAAATTCTGGGATTAAAGGTGTGTGCCACCATGCCTGGCTAGGTTAATTTCTTTTTAAGATTTCCCTTTTTTATTGTATAGGAATATCACTGAATTTTGATTGTTTACTTTGTAGCCTGACATTCTTGTGTATATTCTTTGTAGTATGTTCTATAAAATAATATCATCTATAAGTATAGATTGTTTTGCTTCTACCTTGGAAATTGATGCTTTTCACTTTCTTTTTCTTGCTCTGGCTATGATTCCCAGAGTTTTATTGAATAGATACAGTGAAAATGGACATCCTTACCTTCCTAATCTAAATGAGAAACTTATTTTTCATTATTGTATATACTGTTAATTTATTTTTAAAAATTCCATTATGTTTATGCAATTTCCTTTCATTTGGAGGTGGGTTTTTTTTTGAGTATTTTTATATTTTAAAAGTATAGTTGAATTTCTATAAAAGATTTTTCTGTACCAGTTGAAATGAATCAGTGGGTTTCAACCTGTGGGTCATGACTCTTTGGGGTCACGTATCAGATATCGTGAATAACAATTATTTACATTACAAGTTATAACAGTAGCAAGCTTATAGTTGTGAAGTAGCAACGAAATAATTTTAAAGTTGGGGGTCACTATAACCTGAGTAACTATATTAAATATTCGTAGCATTAGGAAGGTAGATGATTTCCTCGCCTACAGCCTGCATTTGGAATAAATGCAAAAGTGACCTTACACATAAAACGAATATAGAAACACTGAGTCTTAGAAAATATCAAAGAAAAGTGTCTGTGCCTATAAATTTTTACATTTGGTTGATATACAGATAGTATTTGAAGTTAATATTTTTGCACACACTAGCGCAAGCATACTTTTGTATCCAAAAGATATCCACTTTGATATCACCAAATACATTGAATTAAAAGCGTTTAAAATTGTAAAAGGGAGCAAACTACAAAACAACTTAAGGTCTGAAGAGAGCTGAAGAAGATATCAATAAGGAGACTTGATGAAGTTGCCACTGGTTTATCGACTAGTCATGCCGGCGACCCACTGAAGAACTACGTTTCCCAGAGTGCTTAGAGCAAATAGACGCCTCAGCCTCCAGTTGGCCATCAGTCCCGCCTCTTAGCTCCAGTGATTGGGCTCTTCACTTCCGCGCCTCTGCGCGTCTCTTCTGCCATTGGTAGATGTTCCGGGTCAGCCGGGGAGTTTACTCTTTCCCGGTCCTGTCAAGCACCTGGCTCTCACTCCCGTACCAAGATGGCGGCAGAAGCAGCTGGTGGGAAATACAGGAGCACAGTCAGCAAAAGCAAAGACCCCTCGGGGCTGCTCATCTCGGTGATCAGGTGAGGGAGGCAGGCGGCAGGGCGTGAGGACAGGGCAGCGACGCGCCCTTCGCAGCGGAAGGGAGAGGAATCTTCCGGGTCCCGCCCGCCGGCCATTCCCTTCTGGACTCCCCAGCCCCTCCCCGGGGCCTGCTTCCCTGCGGGGGCTCCCAGGACTCCCATTTTCTCTGGGGCCGGGCTTAGGGCCAGGACGCCCCGTCCCGCCCAGGCCCCCAGTCCTCCTCGGGGCATGGCCTTGTGGGTCTCCGGTCCTAAAAGCCGGATCTCCTGGGTTCGGGAAGATGCCCGGCGCATCTGTGCGCCTTGAGACCGGGTCCTCCTGGACCCCCGTGCAGCGAGCACTCAGGTCACCAGCTGTGGCCTGGGCTTCAGGGCGCCACCAAGTCTCCTGTCTGTCAGGAGTTGCAGACTGTCCAACTCTGGGCACTTTCCACCACCTGTGAATAGCTACAGCTTCAGATCCTAGGTTCTGCGGTGAGCTGGTTAGGACTGGATATTGAAGTGACACTTGTCTTATTTTTGTTCGCTTTCTTATTCCACTTTCTTACTCAGAACCATACAAAAACAGAATTTCACCCCCTCCCCATTACTCTCTTCCTAAAATATTAGAGAGTGGAAGTAGTGAACTATTCACAGGTCCTTTAAAAAATGTTTAAAACGTTGACTTTAGATCACCCTGAATAAAATACATTTTGACACATTTATAGGTTGTTTTCATTTGAATTTCACCTCACATATTTTCATAAACACACCTTGCTTCCCATTTTCCCCCACTTAGCCTTCACTTTGAGTCATTAAGAGCTCCCGATCTCTTTAAAGCCCACAGCCCACCAGAATCTAGTAGGTAGTAAGCCCTTGAAAGAATGGGTAAAGCAAGCTTGAAAAGCTTTAAAAGTTTGCCATTTAATGGACTGAAAAAGACCCATCTATGGCTTTAATGTCAGACCCAATAGTTTAAGGCAATGGCCTGTTGTTTATCGATTTTATTTTACAAATGAGAGGATAGAACTTTCTGTCAAAATAATACACTTTGTAGGCCCCGCAGAGAAAGTGCTCCTGTGGAACTTAAAGCATGTTTCTTACTTTAACAATATACAGTGCAGATTTATCCCATGACATTTGTTGTAGTCCATCTTGCTTCTCTGAAATTCTACTATGAATGTTTGGAATCTGTTTCTGAACTCTTTTTTTTCTGCCTGATAGTCAACACTTGCTTAAACAATGGTTATTCACTGTAGTATAGTGACTGGCATTTATTTAGTACTTAATGAATTTTTAAAAATGTATTGTATATGAGCACTCTATTTGTATATACACCTACGTGCCAGGAGAGGGCATCAGATGGTTGTGAGCTACCATGTGATTGCTGGGAATTGAACTCAGGACCTCTGGAAGAGCAGACTGTGCTCTTAACTGCCATCTTTTCAGACTGTGAATATTTGTTGACTGAATAAATGAATGCCCTGAGTTATGCAAGATGAGTCAGATATAATATCCTTGAGGAGAGTATGGACTTGGAGAAAGATGGAATGCTACAGAGATTCAGAATTCATGGAGAGGTGGTCACTTCTGTGGAAGTGGAATGAATTAGCGGAAGTAACAACTGTAAATGTGGCCCATCTTCTTCCCTGTCCTTCTGATGCTTTAGGCTTTATATGTCAGATTTCTTAAGGGACAGTTAGATTTACCATCAATATGCGATGTTTAAAAACTGAGAACTTAAAAGCCTTTTGACTGCTTCTGGTGTAGAGACGTGCATTTGCCTTGAAGGGCCAATTCTTTGGCATCTCCAGAGGTACCTCAGTGGTGTTTTGTGTTGAGTTAAGGCAGTGCTTCTCGACCTTCCTAATGCTGTGACCCTTTAATACAGTGCCTCATGGTGTGGTGACCCTAACCATAAAATTATTTTGTTGCTACCTCATAACTCTAAATTTGCTTTTGTTATGAATCTTAATGTAAATACAATACCTGATATTTGATCTGAAAGGTGTTGAGACACACACCACAGCTTGAGAACTGCTGAGTTCTCATGTGGCCCAGTCTGTCTTCTAGCTCATGTAGATAAGAGTAGGCTTGCCATCACCACACTGGGCTTTATTTATTTGGTTATCCATCTCTTAGACCAGTCTTAAGCCTTCCCTTTGTAACTGTGATTTTTGCCCTGGCATCTTTTACTCTGACTTCTGTTGTGAAGTACTACTTTAATGTTGATTCCTAATCCAGATCATGTCAAGACACATGATGTGTTCCCTTTATTTTTTATTTTTTGTTTACAATTATGCTGTTAAGGTATGCCCAGACCTATCTATCTTTCTAGTAATGTTTAATAAAGAATGGGGTTTATACTTACATATGAACAAAACTAGATGTGTGCTGAAGTGTTGCTGTTTGTATTTTAACATTCCTTTGGACACAGAAAAGTTTTGCTTTGGAATGAAGGAGAGTGTTGCCAATCTCCGTTGGTGTTTTCCTCCGGATGTTCTTTTGTGCTAACCCAGTGGTTTAAACTCCGTGAGCAGTGCATGAGAGAAGAATGGTAGTCTGACTTTGGTGTTGGGATTTGGGGTGAGAGGAGTCTTGACTGGAAGAGTAGACTAGGCCTGTGTATTTATTAGTAACTGTGTGTCTTTCTGAAATTTCTGCTCTTGAGAGCTGTTCACCTTGTGCCTTTCATGCTGCTCTTCTTGCACATTGCATAAATTATCCTTAAATCTTACATGTACTTCATTTACCTCCCTCCAGACTTAACTATTTTCAAATTCTCTCAAAAGACTAACCTCTTCTGGTTACTTTGGCAACAAGCTTCACAAAGGAAAACCCATTCTAGGTTTGTGTTTATAAAGTCTGTGTATTTCTGAAAAGGCATTTGGTACATGCTTGCTCTTTCATGTTGCTCTATACCTGTCAATTTGTCATAAAAATAAGTTAGTGACAGAATCCACTGACTTTTTAAACAGTTTGATTGGTTCACTTTTATCTTCAAATTGGGCAGCAGCAGTTCTTCTTGTTCCTTCAGTTCTTTCTCAAATTACAAAAATACCATTTCTGTATCTATCTATCTATCTATCTATCTATCTATCTATCTATCTATCTATCTATCTATTGATAAGGTCTCATTGTATAGCTTTGGCTGGCTTGGACTTGCTATGTAGACCAGGGTGGCCTTGAACTCACAGAAATCTATTTGCCTCTGCCTCTCAAGTGCTGGGATTAAAGATGTGAGCTACCACACTTGGCTAAGATGTTATTCTTCATAGTCTGAAGAGAAGAGCATTTATTATTGTAGAAACTTCTGGGTACTGGATTAAATTCCAGATAAGGTCTAATGTAAGGACTGACATAGTATACACAAGGAAATAAGTGTCCCAGTCTCATTGTCATTTACTCTTTGTCTGAATGTGGATTTTTGAGACAGTTTGCGTGTAGCCCACACTGGCCTTAGCTCTAGAACTTCTGATTCTTCCGCCTCTACCTCCTGATGCTGGGAGTACAGGCTTGCCCCATCACAGCCAGGTCTCCTTCTCATTTACATTTTCTACCATGGTGGGAACTAATTAGGTAAGGACTCAGTGTTTTGCTAGTATCAGAATCTGTCACTGAGACTTTAAAATAAGAAAAAAATGGAAATCTAGTGCAAATATAATGCACTGTATTATGTTGATGAAAGGGACTTTGATATATGTAAATTAAAAATTGTAATCACTTAAAAATCCTTAATAAGCAAATTTCAGGCCAGTCAGATGTGTAGTGGTTCAATGTTGTGTCTATTTAGAAGTCTCAGGTGTGTGAGGAAGGGTTTGAGGGAGAAGACAATAGTGCTTGTGATTTGGTCTTTTGGAGGCTGCCACTAACGGTAGATTTAAGTCACCACTGTCCCTTTACAGTAGAAATAATTGGGTGGACAGAGTCCAGTTTGTACAGTTTTACACACATACACACACACACATACACATGTGCACGCACATACACATACACACATTCACATACTATACCTTCTTTCCTATTGATTATCCTACCTCAACCTTTTGTTTGGTATGAAGTTGGAGTTGTGAAATAAGCAAGATGGCATTTCAGAGATGTTATTTTATTTTTGTGAGTTCTTGTCAGAGTTTTAATTGGGGAATGTGTCTACCATTTACTGTTAGGTAATTTGCTTTCCAATTAAACATTACTCTCCCTTTTTTGTAAGTCAGCCTGCAAATAACCAGTTTAATTGGGGAAACAAACTCTGGCTGTGACTTACAGAGACCTTATTGAAAACTTGGAGCAGATCTTTTTTGTAGACAGGCTGGTTGCAGATGTCAAAGGAGGCTTGAGGCGCTTAGAGGCTCACATTTTCATCAACTTTTATGTCTTCACAGAAGTTGAAATTTCAAAAACATAGGAAATCCTTTATTGTAGGTTCCTGTTAAATCCCTTCCTCTGTAGAGGATATTTTGGTCATCCCATAGTTAATTCAAAGTAAAGTTTGTTGAGGGGTCTAGGCTTTGATGTGGGGCTTTGAACAGACCTTTGAGGTTTGTGGCAGGAAGACACTGTTTCAGGCATAGACACTGTTTCCAGCACTGTCTCCTCTCCATCAGAACCAAATTCAGAGTAGCCTTTAGATGTCTCACTGTTTCTCTCAGCCTTATTCCCATCCTTGATGCAGTGCTGTTAGCAAATTACTATCAGAATAAACTGTGGCAGGACTGGAGATGGACTCAGCTGGTATAGTACTTGTCTAGCACAAAGCCCTTCATTTGATTCCCAACGTAGACTGGGTTTGGCGGTGCACTCCTTGGGATATGGGATACCTGAGACCTTGTTTGGAAACAGAACAAACACACTTTCAGGAGCTCCTGGGACAGCTGATAATTTCATTTATGGAAATGAGAAGAAAATATTATACTTTCTGGTTATGCATGTAGAATTAATATCTTGGGGACCCAATTCTTGGTTTCTAGCCTCAGGAGTCATTGTTAATATTGGAATTTTTTGAAAGCTTTGAGGCATGCCAT